GTTTCAAAAGGACCGTTCCTCCCCTCGCGGGCGGCGTGTTGACAGAGGGGTGTGCCGGCCTGGCCTGGGCCAGGGCAGTGTTTCTCACGGAAAAGGGACAGCAGCCGTGCGCGAGCCTCACAGCACAGCCCCAGAGCCTGACACGGCGGCCCCAGAGGTCAGGCTTCCTGCTCCCCCGTCCCCCCGACAGACAGCAGGGCTCGCGGCCGGTGATTTATGGTCACTGAGCCCGAGACCCTGGGGAGCTGCTCAGCATGAGAGAGTGGAAAGTGCTCGGCCTGTGGGGCTGGAAGGGTCTGGGCGGCTGTGGACAGAGCCCCCCATCCCCCGCACGGCAGGGGGAGCCCTCCTGTGTCCTCACAGGAATGCTGACGGACGTGAAACGGGATTACCCTCTGTCACGCTCCCCGGACTCAGATCGGCCTGCAGATCCGTCTTGGGTTTCCACCTCCCTCTTCCCGCCCCGGGCGAGGCCATCTGTATTCACGGGACGTCGGAGGCCGACGGAGTCAGACAGTGTGCAAACACACGTGTGGGAGGCCCCGCCTGCTCCTCAGGGTGCAGAGAACGGGCCCTTCTCCCCTCGTGGGGCCATGGGAACCCGGGACGGGTGGCACCTCGGTCCGGACGCAGGCGTGGGGAGGTGCCGGCCGGGCCTGGCACGGCCGCCTCGCGGGCCTGTGGACACACACTCCGCCGCGCGGTGCCAAGCGCTGCGGTGTGGGCACACCTGCAGGCGGTGCCTCCCAGGCGCAGTCCCACCCTGAAGCCTGGGTATCGGTGCGGCCACAAGCCCACAGAGAAGGAAGTTTGCCCAGGACAGGGCTGGCTCTCCGGGCAGCCTGGGCTCACCGGTGGCACAGCCTCCGGTCCCGGGCACCGTGGCACACCCTGTTCTTTTGTGCGGATCCCCACTGCGTCGCCCTGGGCGCGGGGCCCAGCGGGGGGCGCGCCGCGGTTAGCCGACCTCAGGTCTGATCCATGGAGCTCTCAGCTCCCACTCCGTCTTCGCGCACACAGGTTTTAGTGAAGTTAGCAGGTCTATTCGGCTCTTTTCCCAGCATGCTCACTCTACGGCCCCCCATCCCTCCTGCGTGTTTTAAACCCCCTCCGCCACATGAGGACGCGGCTGCTTCCACGCGACCGCTGCCCACACGCTGCGGTTTGGACCCTGTGCTCCTGTCCACGGGGTTTCCTGTCGCAGAGCCTCGTGGGATTTGCGTTGGTGGTGTTGCTGTGCCGGGTGTATTCCAGAGTTTAGTTCTGCCAAGTGCCCTGGGGCAGTGGTTGGCAAACTGCAGCTCGAGAGCCACGTGTGGCTCCTTGGCCCCTTGAGGGTGGCTCTTCCACAAAATGCCACGGCCTGGGCGAGTCTGTGTTAAGAAGTGGCGTTAGAAGAAGTTTAAGTTAAAAAAATGCGGCTCTCCAAAGAAATGTCCATCGTTGTCCTGTGGATATGTGGCTCTGTGGACGGATGAGTTTGCCGACCACGGCCCCGGGCACTGCCAGCCGAGATAACGTGGTCCTGGTCTCAGCTCGGGGTTCCTGGCAGAGGTGACGTGGACTGAACAGGCAGGCCTGTGTCACGTGCGGCAGGGACGTTATCCGTTCTCCCCCCCAGCCCAGGCTGAGAACCGGTGACGAAGGGAGAAGGAAGGAACCGGAAAAGCAGCCTGCTCCACAGGTGGCTGACCCGGGGCAGGCACCCCAGGGACATCCAAGAAAGGTCAGGCAGGCTGTCCCCGCACTCAGCACCCACAGGCCGTCCAGCCTGGCCCCACCTGGCTGTTCTCCTGCGGGCTGTCCAGGGGGGGGGGCACCGCTCCGTGGACCTGTGTCTGTCACAGGACCGCTTCCCGCAGGGGCTGCTGGAGGGGGTGGGCGCCACGGAGCCCTCCACCCCACCAGGCCTCTCCCTGAGGCCCGGGGACCATGTGCACCAGGAGGGTTCCGGGCCCTGCCCCCTCCTGGTCCTGGGTCCTCAGTGCTTCCCTCTGCGCCGGGATCACGCCGAGCGTGTGAACAACGCACGGCCGACCGCTCTGTCTGACCGCTCTGTCTGAAGGCGGCGTTTCGGAGGAATCCACGTGGGAACAAACAGCTTCCCACCCTCCCCACGAGCCGTCCGTCACTCAGGCCTGTGAGCAGGAGGAGGGAGGACAGGAGAGAGAGAGAGCAGGAGCAGGGAGAGAGGACCTGCTGTCCTCAGCAGAGCCGAGATTAAAACCATCAAAAACAAAAACCCAGAACGCGAACGGAATGGAGGACGGCGAGCGGTGAGCCCACGCTGAGGCCTCGCCCTGGACGGCAGGACTCGAGGCTCCTGCCCCCTCCTCTTCAGCCCTCCCGCCTCCATCGGGGGCACAGGTGCGGCCAGTTCAGGTTTCTGTCTTTTCTTTTCATCGGTGGGCACCGCAGACCTCACAGGCCAGCCCGCAACTGAGGGACACGGTCCGGGGCCAGCACTCCGCCGAGGGAAACTGCTGGGAGCCGGCGTCTGTGCCCGGGGCCAGGGCAGGGACTCTGCAGGAGCCTCTCAGCCTCCCAGGATGTGCCTAACGCGGGCGACATCGTACCCTCAGGGCAAGGAGCGGGCGGGCGGTGGGCAGGACTCACTGGCTGCGGTCCGGGGCCGGGGAACCCGATGGCGGGACCTGCCCCGCTGACAGCCCGCACAGGCTGCCGGAGGAGGCGCCAAGATGAGAGGCCTGAGGACCCCGAACCCTGCACTGCTCCCTCCTGTGCAGACAGCAGACACACCCTCCTTCCTGCACCCCCTCTCCGCCCGGGAAGGGGTCCCCAGCCCCCTCCAGCCTCCCTGGATGGTTTCGGATGTTCCCCCTACCCCCCTTAGGAAAGCCAGTGCCTGCCTGTCCCAAGCCGCTCCCCAGCCCATCGGCGGGGGGGGGGGGGGGGGGGGGCAGAGGCTGCCATTCCTTACACCCTGCTTCCTGGCACCCCCCAAGTTCACACACGGGGACAGGGCTGCCCATCCCCAGGAAAGCAGCGGGGGGGGGGGGGGGGGCGCTCTGAGGCCACGGAAGGGGCATGGGGGCTGGGGGCACGGGGGTGGGGGGGGTGTTACACGGTCTGGACCCACTGCTCTGACTCACAGGCTCCCCCGCACACTCAGCGCCCCCCCCCCCCCGCCGCCGCCTGGGAGCTGAGGGGTCTTCTCTGGGCCGCCCAGCACCTGGTCAGGGGTCCCTGAAGGGTCATCACGTTTCAGGTCAAATGACCCCACTCCTGGGGCGTCCCTGTTCCTGTGTCCGTGACTCCACACCCTTCAGGATTCAGGCAGAAACCTGAGTGCACCTGTGCTTGTGGGGGGGTTCGTTTTATTTTCTTAAAGGCCCCCACACTTCTCCCTAGTCTTGGGATCCCTGGAGGCCAGGCTGACGGGTGAGGCTGGCGCCGCCCGCCCTCTCCACCCCTGGTCCCGCCCCCCCCTTCACCGGCTCAGGGCGTGTCCACCCGCCGCAGGCTCCGGAGGAAATGGCTTTTCTCACGCTGGCCAGGCGGCCGTTTAGAAGGGGCGTCCCAGCGCGCACGCCCTCGGGTGCAGCCTCCTGTTCGGGCTCCGGTCACCCTCTGGACAGTAGGCCAAGCCTGGGTGGTGACCCAGCGGCCACAGGTCCCTGACCGCTCCTTCTCCTGGTGACCCGGCCTCCCCCCTTACCCCGTCCCCCGCAGGGCTGCCTGGCGCCCGGCCTGTGGCTCAGCCGCTCCCGCCGAGCCCGGCCCGGGCAGGACCTGCGCGCAGCCCGAGTCCTTCCCAAAAAAGTCCACGGCGCTCCTGGCCTCCCCCGGCGCCGCCTCGCCGGGGTGTTTAAGGAGCGAGTCTGCGTGCCAAGTGGCCATATCGCGGCTCCCGCTGCCAGGTGGAAACTCTGCCCGATATTAAATATTCAGAGAAAAGCACCTCTGACCGGCGGCCCGGCTAACAATGCCCCGCTCTGTGCGGGACCGGCCGGGAAACCCAAGGCGCTCCGGTTTCCAGGCTGGGCCGGCCGCTCCCCGGCCCGCTCCCCGCGCCGCGGTCCAACCACAAAAGCCCCTCCGGACCCGGACCCGGGCTCGCGGGGATGCTGGAGGGGTGGGGCGGAGAGGGCGGAGAGGGGTTACTCCAGGCAGGGCCCGTCCCTCGTCCCCCCAGACCCTGTCTCCCTGGGGTGCCAGCCCCCAGCGGAGGGGGGAGGGGGGGGCTGCGAGCTCCCGGCCCCAGTCCCGGAGGAGCAGCCGCGGGGAGGCTGGTGGAGGAAGTCCGTCCTCACGTTTAAGGGAGACGGGGAGGGGGGTGCGGTACCTTCGGGAGGGGCCCGGCCCCGCCCCCGCCCCCGCCCCCGCCCCCCCATCCTCAGATCCCGCCGGGTCCCCGCGCCCGGGAAGCGGACCTCGGGCTTCCCTGGACGCGCCCCCCGGGCAGCGGGGAGCCCGGCGCACCGGGCAGGGGGGAGCCCCGCGCACCGGGCAGGGGGGAGCCCCGCGCACCGGGCAGAGGGGAGCCCCGCGCACCGGGCAGGGGGGAGCACGGCGCACCGGGCAGGGGGGGAGCGGCCGGCCCAGCCTGGAAGCCAGAGCGCGTTGGGTTCCGCCGGCCCCCGCACAGAGCCCCGCACCTGCTTTCGCGCGCGGCAGGAGGCGAAGTCCGGGGCCAAGGCCCGCACCTCGGAGGCGCCGCTGATGCCGCAACTGAAGTCCACGGCGCGGCCCGCGCCACGGTGCCCCCTTCAGGGGGGGGGGGGTCTCTGCCACCACGTGCTACAGGCTCACCCCAAGCTGGCAGTGAGCGCACCCAACTTCCATCCCGAGCCCCTCCGACGGCTGCCCCGGCCCAGGGCTCACCGGGCACCCGCCGGGGGCGCACGGAGGGGGGGCGCGCGGGGGGGGGACGCCCGGGGGGACACGGGGGGCGCACAGGGGGGGACGCACGGGGGGGAAACGGGGGGCGCACAGGGGGGACGCCCGGGGGGACACGGGGGGCTGCCGGGGCGTCTTACCGGAGAAGTCGGCGAGCGCGGCGATCTCCCCGGAGCAGACCAGCACGGCGCAGAGGAGGCGCAGCAGCCGGCCCGGCGGCTCCCCCTGCCTGCGGGCGCCGGGCGGCGGCGCGGGCGGGGGCGCGGGGCGCGGCGGGAGCATGGTGCGGGGTGCCGGGCGCGGGGCGCGGGGCGCGGGGCGCGGGGCGCGGGGCTGCCGGCGGAGGCGCGTCACATGGCGGGAGCGGGGCAGCTCCGGCCCGGCCTCCCCGGCCCCGCTCCCCCGGCGGAGGGCAGAGGTTGGAGGGGCGGAGGGGGCGGAGGCCGGCGGGGCGGGGCGGCCGGGAAGGAGCGCGCAGTTTCCCGGGAGGAAGCCTCCCCACGCCGCGCGGAGGAAGCGGGGGGCCGGGAGGTGTCCCCCTCGCGCCCCCGGCGGGGAAGGGGGGCCGGTGCCTGGCGCGCTGCCCGCCCCGAGCCGCCCGGCGCCAGCCCCGCCCCGGCCTCCCGGAGCCGCCGGTGCCCGTGACGCACTTCGGAGCCGGGCGCCGGGGCCGGGGAGGTGGGGCCGCGGGGCGGGGCGGGGCGGGGAGCCGGGCCCCGGGGCGGGAAGGTGGGGCCCCGGGGCGGAGCGGAGCCGGGAAGGTGGAGCCGCAGGGCGGGCCCGGAGGTGGGACGCGGCCCCGGACCCGCCTCTCCACGTGCGGGGCCGGGCGCGCGGTCCCGGGTTCGGGAGGAGACCCCGCCGCGCCCAGGCCCCCTGCCCGGCGGGCGTGCGCCCCGGTGGGTCTCCGGCTCCTTCCCGGGCTCCTCCCCGGGCTGCGGGCGCCAGGACCCCGGACCCGTGCGCGTTGCGCCCCGCGGAGGAGCCCGCCCTCCGCCTCTGGGCTCCGCTGTGGGCGCCGGGCCGGGCGGAGGGGCGGGGACCTGGGCCCCGGGACCCGAACCCCGGAGACGGCGGCCCCGGGGGCGGAGGCGGCGGGCACAGCGCGTTCCTTTCCGGAGCCCGGGGAGCGGGCCACGCGGAAACCGGAGACCGAGAGCCGAGGGCCGGCCGGGCGCTGCCGGAGCCCGCGGAGCCCGGACCGCGGAGCCGGGACCGGAGGGACGCGCCGCCCTGTGCCACCCCCGCGAGGGGCGCGAGGACCGGGGCGGCGGGTCCCGCCAGGAGGATGAGCCGAGGGCGAGCCTGCGAGGCGGTGATGTTTAAACTCCACACTGCAGTGCTGAGCCTCCTCTTGTTTACTCACTTCTTATGTATTTACCTTTGCTGTTAATCCTCACCCGAGGACATTTTTCCCACTTTTAAATATATATCAAATATATCTTATTGAATTTTTTGCAGAGAGGGAGAGGGATAGAGAGAAACATCCATGAGACCTGCACACCCCCCACTGGGGATGTGCCCACAACCAAGGTGCGTGGCCTTGACCAGAATCGAACCTGGGACCCGACGCTCTGTCCACTGAGCTTTAGGGCTTTAAACATATTTTATTGGTTTCAGAGAGGGAGAGAGAATCATCCATGATGAGAGAGAATCATGGGTCGGCTGCCTCCTGCATGCCCCCCACTGGGGATGGAGCCCACAACCTGGGCCTGTGCCCTGATGAGGACGGAACCGGACCCACAGGCCAAGCTCTCCCCGCTGAGCCAAACCGGCCAGGGCTGGCCTCCGCAGTGACCCTCGGACATGAGTTGAGTGAGCTTTCTGCATTGAGGAAACTGAGGGTGGGTGGTGGGGGAGTGTGCCTAGTACTTGGGAGCCATCCCCTCAGTAACGCCTGCCCAGACTCAGGTCCCTCGTGGTTGTCCTCCCACATCCACTCATGACCCGGTTGCCTCTGAGCCACTTACAGTGGCAAATGGCTTGTTGCATGTATTTGCCACAACTTCAAAACATGAATGAAGCCGAAACCGGTGTGGCTCAGTGGATAGAGCGTCGGCCTGCAGACTGAAGGGTCTGGTCAAGGGCATGTACCTTGGTTGCGGGCACATCCCCAGTGGGGGTAATGCAAGAGGCAGCTGCTCAATGATTCTCTCTCATCGGTGTTTCTAACTATCCCTCTCTCTTCCTCTCTGTAAAAAAATCAATAAAATATAAAAAAAAGAAAGAAAAAAAAACCCATGAAGTTCATAATGTACCAACACCCATTGAACTGTGCCCTTGAAATGGGTGAGCTGTATGGCTTGTGAATTCTATCTCCATAAAGCAGTTTATGTGTTTTCTTACAATCAGACCTTAACAGCCCTAGCTGGTTTGGCTCAGTGGATAGACCGTCGTCCTGCAGACTGAAGTGTCCCGGGTTCGATTCTGGTCAAGGGCACATCCTGGGTTTTGGGCTTGGTCCCCATCATGGAGTGTGTAGGGAGGCAGTTGATCAATAATTCTCTCTCATCATTGATATTTCTCTCTCTCTCCCTCTCCTTCCTCTCTGAAATCAATAAAAATATATATTAAAAAATCAAACCATAGCAGTGACAGGGGGCCCAGGGAGGTGACTGAGTCCGAGTGGAGCCAGGAGGCTGGGGCGATGTGTGGGGCTGGGGCTCTGCAGGCCTCAGGGGGAGAGGAAGGTGCCAAGCGGGGAGGGGTTTGCAGGCGGGGAAAGGGGGGGACGGGGTACAGGGCAGTGCGGGCAGAGGAGGTCTGGCTGCCCTCTGTTTCGCCCCCTGCTGCTCTCCGTAAAGTCAGGCTTAGTCCTAATCTGGTCTCTGGGGATTTCTGAGCCATGTGAGGGAGTGAAGTAATTCCGTTTCTCTTCCTCTCTGGAGCCCTTAGTCCCAAGGGCCTTGTGCCTCCAACCAAATGGAAACCAATTACCGCCCTCCCACTCTCTCTCTGGCTCTGATCATCCTGCACCAAATGCCCGCCCCGGGCACCAGGCCGGGGAGGCGGGGAGGAGCCCTGTGGAGCCCACGGGGCAGAGAGGGGTAACCTTCCCCGCAGGCGCCGCCCCTGCTCGGTGGGATCCACAGAACTGAGTCACAGTTACCGGAGCTGGAAGCTCTGCCGAATAAGAAAGTGCCCCCTAAACACCAACACCCCCACAGCCCTCGGACCTGCTGGGAGCTGAGGGACCACCGGTGACTGCAGCCCGGCCCGGAGCCGCTCCTTCCCAAGAGACAGCGGTTCCAAGAGAGTGAGCGCGGGCTCAGCTCCTGCCCGCCACGTGCCCCGAGGCTGGTGCCACCCGTCTCCTGTCCCCAATGGGGCTGACGGCACAGACCGCCTGTGGCAGGACTCCACACCCACAGCCGGCAAAGTCGTCGGAATCAGGGAGGGCCATGGGTGGGACCACGTCACCGCGCTCCCTGCTGTGCAGTGGCCCCACCGGGTGGCCTTGCCACTCCCACTCCGTCCATCCCGTTTGCATGAGGCCGGCTGCTTGCGGGAAGCCCCTTCGACTATTTGAAGTTTGCTTTTCCGCAGTCTCAGTTACCAATCAAAGGCAGTCTGGCAAGATTGCATGGAAAATTCCAGAAATAAACAATTCATAAGTTCCCAGTTGCGTGCTGTTCTGAGTAGCGTTGTGGTGACTCGTGTGCCATCTGCTCCATTCTCGGAGCTCGGCTGTGAGTCAGCTCTGCCCAGCGTCTCCACGCCACGTGCCAATAAGCGAGACCATACTAATAACCTTCACTCCAGTACATTTCACAGTTGTTCTCTTTTATTAGTAGTTACTAGTAGCCCTGCCCACAGACCCATGTGCCAGTGGCTCGCTGCCGCCTTCCAGTAACTCTCTGCCCTCTGCCCCGCTCTCCTGTGGCTCCCCCTGCCCCCTCCTGTAGCTCTCTGCCACCCACTTGTAGCTCACTGCCCCACCCTCCTGCTGATCCGTGATCCGGTCCGTTTTGCGGTGGGTCGTTACACTTCACAGCACAACGACCATTTGTGTATTATTACATCTTTATTATATAAGACTAGAGGCCCGGTGCACAAAATTCATGTGGGGGGGAGGTGTACCTCAATCTGGGAACCCCTTGAGGGATGTCCAACTCCCCTTTTAGGCCCGATTCCGGCAGTCAGATCTCTCTCTCACAATCCAGGACTGCTGGCTCCCAACTGCTCGCCTGCCTTCCTTCCTGATTGCCCCTAACTTCTTCGGCCTGCCAGCCTGATCACCCCCTAACCACTCCCTGCCAGCCTGATGGATGCCTAACCACTCCCCTGCCAGCTTGATTGATGCCTAACTGCTCCCCTGCCAGCCTGATTGCCCCTAACTGCCCTCCCCCGCAGGCCTGGTTGCCTCCACCTTCCCTCCTTTGTCGGCCTAGTCATGCCTAACTGCCCTCCCCTACAGGCTTGATCACCCCAACTGCCCTCCCTTGTGGGCCTGGTCCATCCCAACTGCCCTCCCATGCTGGCCGGCCATCTTGTGTCCACATGGGGGCAGCTATCTTGAGTGTTGGAGTGATGGCCAATTTGCATATTGCTCTTTTATTAGATAGGATTGGTGTTGGTCTCATACTGTGCCTAACATAAGTTAAACTTTATTGCAGATGTGTGCGTAGGGAAGAACATCGTGTGTATATATAGGATTGGGTATTGCTCTGGTTTTAGGCATCCACTGTGATCTGGGAACTAATCCGTCCGGATAAGGGGAGACGAGTGTACACTTCCTATTTTCGTGTCCTAATTCCTGCCTTGGTTAATTTTTTAAAGATATTTTTACTGATTTCAGAGGGGAAGGGAGAGGGAGAGAGAGAGAGAGAGAGAGAGAGAGAGAGAGAGAGAGAGAGAGAAGTGTCAATGATGAGAATCACTGATTGGCTGCCTCCTGCACGCCGCTCACTGGGTCGAGCCCTAATTCTGTATATGTGCCCTGACCAGTAATTGAACCCTGACCTCCTGGTTCATAGGTCAGCGCTCAACCTCTGAGCCAGGCCAGCGGGCTTCCTGCCTTTGTTTTCCTTTTGGAACAGCCCTGTGCTGTCCTCCCGGCTCTGCTCCCTCTGGCCCTCCTTCCAGCCTCTCTTGGGCGGTGTGGACTGATGCGTGCCCGACTCTCCCCCACCCTCTCCCCCCCCAGCCTGCCCCCTACCTGCCCTCCCGGTGGGCCGTCCACGGGACCGGCTGCGGCCCTTCTGGGGAGATAAAACCTCTGTTCCTCAGCGCCAAGAAGCCAGCCTTTCAGCGGAGATCGAGGGGAACGAGGTCCAGCGCTA